GATATTTCAGACTTTAGTTCATGCTCGAGGCAAATGCAATTCAAGCGTTCACTATAACAAGAGTGCTCGAAATTTTAAATTCGTAGCTGACAATTGTATGGTTTAAGTTGCACCTAACCTAATCACTGTTATCATCAATAAATTGAAGTATGTGCTATGAGGTAGGAAAACGGTTTCGATCTTGGTAAAACCAAATGCGACGAAAGAATGAACTAATCACCAAGCAACTAAGTCACTAGGAAAGTCATGAATATAATAAAATCATCATGATTCGACTGTCTCTCGACCATACCTGATTGGCCCTAAACAGACCAACAGTACTGAGGGGTGGCCTGTATACCTAATTACCTATGCCTTATAGTTGGCGAAAATTGCAGTCTGAATAAGGGCCTTTTTCATTCAAGATTTCTTGACCCCAATCTTCCAACAGCCATAAAATCAGCTCCCCACTATAGCCTTTAATCACTATAGGGGGTCCAAAGAGACTGAGCTCAGAGTTTGCCTTGGATACTTTATTTCTTCAGAGTATTGCTGACAAAGTAGAAAATCAAGTTTCAACCAAAAAGAAAACTAAAATATATGTGGAAATATTTTCTATATATTTTATAACTAAAGATTTGCCTTGGTCGACTTCTTGTGTTGTTGAAGTGCCATCTTTAACCTTTTTCAAATTTTGATGCAGGGGATGTCATATATAAGGGGAAAGTTGAGCTTGATGTGAAGTACTATTTCTTGCATGTCCACTCAGAAACTAAGGATCTTTGCGAGGAGACAAGTTGCCCGATTACAACTGGTGACTTTGTGCTGTCACATGAACAGACCTTACCATCGCTCACTCCTCCCGTGAGATTCATTCTTTTCAAATTTCTCATTCTACTTTATGATTACTGCTGCAAGATGTCTGTGTCTATTTTTTAAGAAACTCATAGCGAAGTAGTATTCAAGTGAAATTAGTGCTGAGGTTTGAGTCTTGACATTCCCAAGTTACCCTTATCTGGGAAGTGCTTGCGGAGAAGAAAAAGAAGGCCTTTGTTGTTCATATGCCTTACCACTGTTGTAAATAGCTTTACATTTTGTTAGTATAAAAGTGCACCACATATTGTGTTCTTGTTTAATTTATGCATTTACCCACATTGCTTCTTCTCCTCCATTTTTTCCCCGTCCTCCAATTCTCTTCTTTGCTTCCTCTTCTCTATCTTCCCTTTTTTCATCTTTTCTTCCTGTTTCAAGATTGCTCTTTAAACATTGATTGAGAAACCGATTTTACAGAATAGTTTATTAATCGGTATTTTAGAAAGAAAGTTATCCACATGAAAAAGAATTGCCTTAAATTCAGTATTGAAATCACTAATGTTGTAATTGATTTGGTTCGTCTTATTTTAAATCATCATCGCTTTGAAATCCCAAGGAAAAACATGTGGTTGGTGTTGCGCCTCGTTTGATCGAGGTGCGTGAGGAATAAATTTCTAAATGACTCTTTCTTTTTAACTGGCACCCACTATGCAAATAAAGAAGGAAAGAAAGAACGTTGAATAATGAGATATTACAATTGTAATAATAAAAAAAAGAAACAAAATATCAATAATGAGATATTACTAAAAAACTGTAAATAAAAAAATTGAATGAAATAGTACTGAAACTATAGACTTGCTCTTTCAAGAAAAAGGAAGCAAAGGTTCGCATCTATTTCAGAATGGTGTTCCATTCCCTTACATTACATTGAGTGCTGATGCTTCCTTCTATCGCAGGGTTCATATACACTCACAATGAAGATATACGGAGAAGACGGTAAGAAACAGCTATCATGCATTGACCTCTACTTCAGCATCAGCTGGCTGTCATCCTCAGTTGCTGATATCTGAACAACCAGCGATGCTGCTTGAATATCATATAATGGTTTAGTGTGTAATAATATCATGTGTAATATGTAGTATGTGCTCGGTGAACCCTGTAGGATTTGTTTCCAGTGATGGAATCAAAGAACTGAACTTATGTGTCTTTGGCTAGTGATGAATAAGGACATGAGCCTTGTGTTTTGGCAGTTGATGATTTAGAAAAGATGGGTCTAATGCGCGGAAGTTGCAATATTGCAGAGTACTTGTTTGTTTTATGCATATTGCGGGATTATATTCAGAAGTATCTTCATTTGTGGAATTATACTGCCGAATTCGATTATGAGGCAGGCATTGGCTTTATAATGCTGGATGTGTTTCCAGACTAGAAATGGACGTAAATGCGCTATATATAGTTTCATCAACATTGCACTTAAAATGACCTCTATTTTAAAAAACGGAGCAAATGTTTAAAAGTATATAAATATTGTTGATAAATGCTTCAAGGTTTCAAAATGTTGTGTTTGGGTGCATTCTGGTGGCCTTTTTGGTGGCCTTTTTTTCCTTTCTTTTGGTGGGTTGAAAATGTAAGAGTTTGATTATGTTAAATTCAAATGTAAATTTCCAATTGTAAAAGGAAAAAAAAAGAAGAAGAAAGGGTTTATTGCTCATAGATCCCCGCTAGTGTCAATGGCTAGAACAGTTTTATTATTGTAGTTTTGTGGTTGCAGATTGACCTTTTGGGTTCATTTTCTTACGCTTTACCCTCACACAGTCTCATTAATTTCCACCATTAAGAATAGGGACACTTCAGTATATCCCTTTTAATTATAATAACTGATCAAGAGCATAGCGAATGATTCAGACCTAGTATATTGACATTATTTTTGTTATTTTTGGCAGAATATTGACATGATCCTATATAAATCAATAAAAACCAACTCTAATTCCCAAAGTGATTTTCTATTGACTAGTTAGTAGTCACAACAAAACAAAATCATCTAAAATCCATTATTAGCCAAAATATTTTAGTCTCTTTTTATACACGTAATTATGCAGGAAAATCCAGTGGTACTTGTGACCGTTGCCCCTGCTCCGATGCTCTATTTAAACTTTTAAAACCCCCACCACCTTGTAGCCGTTGCCTCCGATCCACACTCTCTCTCTCTCTCTCTCCTCTTTCATCTCAAAGAGCGAGAAAATCAATAGGGGTGGAAAAGCTAAGCAAGAAATCCTCAGCTTCATCACCTCCATCCAATTATTTCCTCAAAACCTCTCCACAATCCTCAAGAAATAGAAAAATGAAGGGGGTGAAGGGCAGAATCCTAAAGAAGCTCAAATCCATCCCTGAAATCCCTTACCTCAAACAACCCCAGTCGTTCTTTCAACTCCAAGACCCTTCCTCTCCCCTCGAATCCGATCGAATACTCTCACCCACAAAAGAATTCGATGAACACGCCATCGAAAACAAGGAGAACTTCAGCCAGAATTCAGATGAAAATCAAACCCAAACAGCACCCAAATGCCAATCATTTCGCAAGCCTGATCCAGATTCAGCGACCCTTTTCGACCCGAAGCTCCTAGCTGCATTCCATCAAGCGGTGATCGACTACTTCAGAAATCAACACCAAGAAGAAGTACTGAATGAAAATTTTCCTACAACCAGCCTTCGAGGAATCAGAAAGACCTTCGAGGATTGCAGCAGCATAAAGCTGCTCCTCGAGAATTTAAAGCTGGTTTTCATAGAGAGAGACGTATCGATGCATATTGAGTTCAGAGACGAGCTATGGAGAGTTTTGGGGTATCGGGCGATCCCACCGAGGTTGTTTATAAGGGGGAGGTGCATTGGAGGAGCAGATGAAGTCTTGGGATTGCACGAGCGAGGGGGGTTGATCCCGTTGGTGGAAGGAATCGCGAGGACTCGGAATGGGGAGAGATTGTGTGGAGGTTGCAACAGGGTGAGGTTTGTGGTTTGTATAGAGTGTGATGGGGGGAGAAAAGTGTTTGATGAGGAGAAAGGGATGAATGTGCAGTGTTTGAGGTGTAATGAGAATGGATTGGTTGTTTGCCCTCTTTGTTGTTGATGATTCGAGTGTTTTTGAACATATTCTTTACATTCTTTGATTCAATTTTGAATGTGTATATTGTTGATAAGTTTGGGATTTGAACAGTATTGTCACGGGGCAGTATTTGAGTCTTTTTAGTTTCGAGATAGTATTATCGTGTTCAAGTTTGGGATGTATCTTGGAAGTTATTGGATATGTTATTGTTGATGATGAAGTGTTCGAATGTTCCTCGCGCTCTTTGAATCAATTTTGAGCGTGTACATTGATAAATTTTGGGATTTCAGTAGTATGATTACAAACAGTATTTGGGTCTTTTAGTCTCAAGATAGTGACGAAATTAGTGGCTCCTTCAGGCGTTTGTTTACTACATTAACCACCATAACACATTGAAAGCATAACATGCAATTACCCGAGCTGACCATCAATTAAACTCCCAAGCAAGATTCAAGAGCGCAACTTGGAGCATTCAAACTAAACAAGCAATTCAATGTGTCTCGTACAGTCGATAGTCAATATACCGACTACACCTACATTCATAAACCTCCGTGCTAACCGAAGTCCTTAAGGAGACAGCGCCACATAACAACATCTGAGGACCAGCAGATCAATTTTCCTACCATCAGACATTTTACAACTATATGAGCAACCAACCTACACCAAGGACCTGTTGTCCTGTAAATATAAAAGAGCCGCGGACCCGTGCTGATGAGAGAAATCAATCAATATACGAAGGCTCTCGCAGTGATTTTTTTCCAAGCACATAAATTACCTATACTTCTGAAAGGGATTCAAGATCAGGAGTACAAAACATGTCCAAAATTATGAGGTTTAAACAAGTTCGGACATATATCCTAAATTACATCATAATGAACAGGATGCAGTACCACATGAGCATATTCGGAGACTCAATACATAGAATACAACACTTAAAATGGTTATTCTGACGCCTATACCGAAATGTCATTCCAACACTTTCACTACTACAAAAGGAGTCCAGACCAAATTAAATTTGAACATGCAGCTATGTATGATCAGATACTTTTGATTTCAGCTGTTAGCAGACGAAGCATTGGGCTGGTGCCCGTCATCCAAGGTCACAGAGGGCTGAGTTTCCTTCGGAATTGCACCGTCCGTGCTCCGGTTTTCGCTAAAAGGCCTCTCATTTTTTATCTCTTTCCGCCTTCTGGACATCTCTTGGTCGGCTGATGTTTGAATCAGTGTTGCAGAATCTTCAGGTTTTTCTTTATCTGAACTTTTATTCTCCATTCCTTCTGCTGTTGGGGGCATCACATTAGAATCTTCTGCCTTTTTCTCCTCTGCATTCTCGTCCACCTTTCCTGCAGAAGCCGGATGTAATATTTCAGAATCAGCCTTTTCCCCAATAGCTTTCTCTGCTCCATTCCCCTCAATATTTTCACTGGTTTTCTCCGTTGGTTCTTTCTGTGCCTCCCTTTCAGCCTCAACACCTGCATCCTCCTTAGCCTTGTCTGCAGTATCTTCAGCGTCTTTCATTTCAGTATCAACAGATGCTTTTGCTCCGTCAGCTGCACCTTCAGCTGCTTCAGGATCCTCGTTCTCTCCACTTTCACCATCTTTTGTGTCCTTCGCCCCCTTCTTCCCGCTTGATTTTCTCTCCCTCTTTTTAGGTTTCTCATCCTCAGGAGTCTCTGTAGCTTTCACTTTAGCACTGATCCTAGCAGATCTCCGAGGAGTATCACCTGTATTTTGTTATCAGACCAAAAAAAAAAATATAAGCTGCTTCGCCTGTATATGCTGCTTATAGTGCACTGTGTGTGTTAGAGAGACGTGAGAGAGAGGGAGAACCAGTTCCCCAGTCAAATTCAGATGAAGGCGGGCCGCCAGGGTGGGCACGTAGGTACTGATCTAACTGCTTCTTGTTCGCAATCTCTTCTCCTGTTGGTGAGATGAAAACTATCTCATTACGCTTAGGTGTTCCGCCCTTTTTTGGTGTAAACTGTACACAACACAATAGGGGGAAATGGTGATATGTACGTGATGAAACAAGAACAAAAGAGGAAGAAGCATTCAATTCATGCAAACATTCCATTAGCGCTTAACATGCCAGGTTTGGTACAGATCTTGATGGGTATATCAGGCAAGTTAGGTAAACGAGTCTTAAATTCAATCTTTGGAGAATACTGCTGAACAAAATGTAACCGTCTACAAGGTAACTTATTAGATAGAAAGTAAAACATTCTGGAACGAGCATCAGACCATCATAGCGCTTCAAGCAACAATCATAAAACTAGAGAATGTCGACAAACAGTACTGCTACGAGCTGTCTAGCAATTATTTATGCCAATATAAACATGAAAAATGAAGACTTCTAGCAAGTTTTTTACCAACATATTAGGATGACATGCAGATGCAATACATGTAGCATCTGGTTACTGTTCACAAATCTCATGTGGATACAAGCATGAAACTTATAAAAAGGGCTATAATAGAAGAGCCAGGAGCTTTCAACAAATCCAATATTGGCAAAAAGGAACATATTTTAAAAAATACATATCACAAAATCAATCAGTTTATCAAGGAAGGATGCAAACATTATTTTCCAGCTACCATAGTATTTGATGGCATGCAGAATTGGCAAAAATAAACAAAATCATAATATTTTTTTAGCAAAATGATGGCAAAAGCAGAAATAAAGAGTAACTGCTGGCAGTTGAGTTATAATAATAAACAACAAACATGTAAGGTATGGAAATGAATACTGTTGTCAAATAGGAATGAGTGGTTTTTAAGCTGGCATGAGAGGAGAGGGACATGCACACACGCACATGAACATTCCCAACACACCTGAGCACATGCTCTCCCTCCAGCACAATTCACATAGGTCACAAGTTCGCATGTCACGACACAAGAAAAAGGCACTTAGAAAATAAAAATGAGATAGCTACTCATGTTCTCTCAGCATATGCTACATCCCCAATAGCTTTCTCTGCTCCATTCCCCTCAATATTTTCACTGGTTTTCTCCGTTGGTTCTTTCTGTGCCTCCCTTTCAGCCTCAACACCTGCATCCTCCTTAGCCTTGTCTGCAGTATCTTCAGCGTCTTTCATTTCAGTATCAACAGATGCTTTTGCTCCGTCAGCTGCACCTTCAGCTGCTTCAGGATCCTCGTTCTCTCCACTTTCACCATCTTTTGTGTCCTTCGCCCCCTTCTTCCCGCTTGATTTTCTCTCCCTCTTTTTAGGTTTCTCATCCTCAGGAGTCTCTGTAGCTTTCACTTTAGCACTGATCCTAGCAGATCTCCGAGGAGTATCACCTGTATTTTGTTATCAGACCAAAAAAAAAAATATAAGCTGCTTCGCCTGTATATGCTGCTTATAGTGCACTGTGTGTGTTAGAGAGACGTGAGAGAGAGGGAGAACCAGTTCCCCAGTCAAATTCAGATGAAGGCGGGCCGCCAGGGTGGGCACGTAGGTACTGATCTAACTGCTTCTTGTTCGCAATCTCTTCTCCTGTTGGTGAGATGAAAACTATCTCATTACGCTTAGGTGTTCCGCCCTTTTTTGGTGTAAACTGTACACAACACAATAGGGGGAAATGGTGATATGTACGTGATGAAACAAGAACAAAAGAGGAAGAAGCATTCAATTCATGCAAACATTCCATTAGCGCTTAACATGCCAGGTTTGGTACAGATCTTGATGGGTATATCAGGCAAGTTAGGTAAACGAGTCTTAAATTCAATCTTTGGAGAATACTGCTGAACAAAATGTAACCGTCTACAAGGTAACTTATTAGATAGAAAGTAAAACATTCTGGAACGAGCATCAGACCATCATAGCGCTTCAAGCAACAATCATAAAACTAGAGAATGTCGACAAACAGTACTGCTACGAGCTGTCTAGCAATTATTTATGCCAATATAAACATGAAAAATGAAGACTTCTAGCAAGTTTTTTACCAACATATTAGGATGACATGCAGATGCAATACATGTAGCATCTGGTTACTGTTCACAAATCTCATGTGGATACAAGCATGAAACTTATAAAAAGGGCTATAATAGAAGAGCCAGGAGCTTTCAACAAATCCAATATTGGCAAAAAGGAACATATTTTAAAAAATACATATCACAAAATCAATCAGTTTATCAAGGAAGGATGCAAACATTATTTTCCAGCTACCATAGTATTTGATGGCATGCAGAATTGGCAAAAATAAACAAAATCATAATATTTTTTTAGCAAAATGATGGCAAAAGCAGAAATAAAGAGTAACTGCTGGCAGTTGAGTTATAATAATAAACAACAAACATGTAAGGTATGGAAATGAATACTGTTGTCAAATAGGAATGAGTGGTTTTTAAGCTGGCATGAGAGGAGAGGGACATGCACACACGCACATGAACATTCCCAACACACCTGAGCACATGCTCTCCCTCCAGCACAATTCACATAGGTCACAAGTTCGCATGTCACGACACAAGAAAAAGGCACTTAGAAAATAAAAATGTGGATCTCTACAGATTTCCAATTTTGGTAATCTTGTTTCTCCAAGTGAATACTGAAGTCCATATGGATATGAATGCATGAGTAAACATAGACCTACGAAAGCTAGATTAAAAAGTGACTCCTACATGGACTGAGCGATAACCCAAACAATTCTAAAAAACCTAGATATGGAGACACGGTTTTGAATATGTTTAGTTGTGAAAATACATTTTAACATACATAATTAGTAGGTTAAATTTTATTCTTATAAATGGATGCATATTCATTAATAGGATATTTCACAAAGAAATTGATATATTGCACTTGCACTTTTGTGCCAAAAACAAAAAGCTGTCAGGCTTCATCTTATAGCCATTTAAATATAATACACATCCCTTATTATCTAAGAATGAAAAAGTGTCACGTCAAATATGGATAAAAATATACCTCAGTAGGAAGACCTGCCCCACATTGCAAACAAGAATGATAACAATGTATTGTATGACAATAGATGTGCACATATAGCTAATTTTTTGTTGCAATAAATATTAAGTTAACATAAAATAGTCGAAAAAAATAGAAGGCCGCCCTTAATGTAACAGGGCAAACCATGCACTTAGTATGCATTAGTTTTTGGCCATGTACTGATTATCAAGCACTAGGCTGTCTGCCTGACCCAAGATTCTTCCCATCCAATTTTCCTCCATATTTAAAGTGATGGGTATTAGGTTGCGTTTTGGTTTTTGGAATGGAATTCCCAGTCTGACTTGATATTTCCGAAACCGGACCTCCTTAATGTTCAACTTTTATGTTGATCACGACAACGCCCAAAGTGGATAAAAGGCAGATATAGATATCACTATATAGATATTCCTTTCATTCTAGCGGATAGGAATTCAAGCGTTAAAAGAAACTGTTCACATATAGAATTCAATACCCATTTTTGGTTAAGAACCAATTTGCATTGGACATGGGAATTAGCTGGGTAGTAGTTGGATATTATCATACAGAACAAAAGGACTTGGAAAGAAATAGCAAATGTAGACATCAATGTTAACACGTCCTAATGTTATAGTATAAAACGGGATTTATTGCAAACGGACACCCTCAGTATCACCTAATTGCGAATATACGCTCTGTAGTTCTATTTGTGTGAATAGACCCCTAGACTGACTTTTTCACTATTAAAATCATTAAAAAGGTTTTCAGGAGATGGATAGAACCCTCATAGTTCTATTAGTGAGGATAGATCCCCAGTTGCTATTCTTCTTTACTTTCAAAAGAGTCTAAAAATTTACTAAGAGGGAGTATGCGCACTTGATGAGTACTACAAGGGGTCTATTCGCACAAATAGAACTAGGGGGTCTGTTTGCAATTGGGTGATACTGCAAGGGGTCTATTTGCAGTTAACCCTATTAAAAATATGTAAGGTCACATTAAGTTGGCTTAATTTTAGTTAAGGTATCATGTCATGTTATATCCAACGTATTACATCACGCAATAATGAATATTTCTCTTTATACAAAAACATACCTACATATGTAGGCCTCTATGACCTATGTTGTGCAAGTGAACACAGCTTACATCTAGACCACTACAACTAAAATCATCATCAAAGTCAGATTCTAAGCTTTAAGGCTTGGAGTGTGCAAGACCAAGGAAGGACACACCAACCCCTATTTGCTCATATTTGTGCATATATGCACATGCGGGAATGTATGTATGTATGTATATCTCTTTGCGTGTGTGCGCACACATGCGTGCATGTGTGTGTGGGATTAATGAGCATCATATGTCATACGAGGGAAATCCCTCATATAGAATGACGTGGCCCAATCCCATCCAAGTGTAGTTATGAGTGTTTCTCTCCCCTTCTTTATTCACTTGGTGGAGATTGAGCCACATCCTTGTTATATAAGAAGATCCTCTCATATGACAAGGATATACATTACT